ATCTTGGCCATAAGGGACTTCAATTTTGAGGAGGCGTGCGGCCAATTTTGAAAGGCACGACGGCCATTGGCCGCGGTGCCGCGGCTTATGTCTAGCCCTGCACTACCGCATAGCACTTAGAACAAGCTTTGTATGCACACAGGACCGTCAACCTGTCAATACAGGGACAAACATTGCACTTTGATCACAATGATTAGCAGAATTTGCTGTGGTGTTGATGGCAGTATGTAAATACAGTTGAAACCGCCTATAACGATCATGGTTATAGTGATCAACCCCTTACACAGATCAAAAAGCTTGGGAAAGAATCATTCCGGTACGAATACTGTTTAAGCTAATTCTTTATAGTAATCAAGTAGTCTGCTTACAGTGTTCATTTTGGGTGTTTTTAAACATGACAAGGAACGAACAAAACTGTGGTTTTTTTTTTTTTTTTTTTTTACTGCTTTGCCTTGTGGTAACCCGTCTGCTTCTAACGAGCTACCTGAGGCCAATGCTGCGTGCACAGAAAACATGACGGGAAAAAAGAAAGTCATTTTCTCTGTGACAAATATAGACTTATCAGTGCGAAACTGCAATAAGTGCTTTGAGACTATAACATTGTAAAAATGCGCTGTATAAATATTATTGAATATTATGCATAATAGTGTACTGTATTATAGTGTATTTGATTTATACACAGTTCAGTAATTCATTTGTAGTCATTTGAAATGAATAAAATTAAGTAAACAGCGACGCTGTCTGTTTACCTTATATTCATGAATACTAAATATACATGTCAGTTAGATGGTAATCTGCCTGAGTCATAAAGAAAATTTGTTATAAAGATCATCCACTTAGTGATCAATTTCACCCAGACAGACTGAATCACTATAAATGGTTTCCACTATAGTTAATTTGTAATCGATAAAATGTCAGTTACTGTGGCGATGTAGGCCTACTTTGGTGCAGACAAAGGTTTGACAGCAAGTGCTGGCTGCACTAAAACCAGTTCATTCATTTGTTTACTTCTCAGGAGAAGATGAACGTCCCAGACCACCTGGCCTGTCACTTATCCAACCCTCCTCCCGATTACAAGCAGCCAAGAGCGAACCTGGCTGAAGTGGTGCAGACTAACCATTACTCAGGTGCCCCCCCGCTCCTCGCCGTCAGCGTTCTGAAGGAGGCACTGTGCGAGGCGTCACGTCCAGCTTATTCCGTTGTACTTTTTTTTTTAATCCAGGTGACATTTCTGCAAGCTCCCCGCAGACACCCTTGAGCACTGTGTCCACTCTCAGTGGTTTCTATGGAAACCATCTCCTGGTCTGTCAGGACGCCAAGGTGACGGCATCATCCAGCAGCAAACGATACACCAGCGGACCGGAGTACCACCAGGGGGCCTATGGGCGCCCCACCAACATGAACCGGCTGGAGCAGCAGGGAGATCCCCTGCGGCCGGTGACCCGGGAGGGACCCATGGGGCACAGAGGGGACACCATGGTGACCAACAGCATGGCGGCTTCCACTGCCGGCTGGGACCTGCCCCCCGTGCCCAGGGCCTTTCCGGACATGCGTCACGGCAATTTCGAGAGCCATCCGTTCTCCCACATCGCCATGGCCATGCTGCCCGTGAACGGGCTGCCCGTGGGCGCGGCCAGGGAGCCTGTGCCCAGGGTGAGTCAAGTACACAGTCTCACCACAGGGGGGCGCTTTTCAGGCCCAGGCAACACACACGGTCGCCATAGCGGGAGCCAGAGCCTGAATTTCCTGCCCGACGGCGATGGAGTAGGGCCCGGTGGCTCTGCCGAGTCGGACTTTATCGACTCACTGCTCAAGTCTGGTTCCGGGAACGACGACTGGATGAAAGACATCAACCTAGACGAGATCCTGGGTGGGCACACTTAGCCCGAAGGACGTACGACATCCCCAGAAACTGAAATCATGCCTATGTCGGCATGAACTATGTTTTTATACTTCAGCTTAACTATTTTTAACTCTTATCAGACATGTATCCCTATGTATATCCATAACATAAGGCAGTTATTCCAGAGGTAATCACGTTTTTTTTTTTTTTTTTTTACCCTGTGTAGAGTGAAAGGGCCTTTTTGCACCCATGCTAATTGCTTTGTAAATTATACCCCTTCAAAGTATTTCAGGTGTGTGGGCTGGTCTGTGTTTCTGGGGGCAAGTATGACTGAAAAATGAGGCTGGAAGTTCGGCTTTGGTCAGATGACCCTGATAGTCGTACACTAGTAATGGCCAAATGAAATTCATGAACCATTTTCTGTATTTTTTGACCCCACTAGATGGCGGTGTTGGTTTGGGGGCATGAAATTAGCCTTTTTTGAATAGAGAGCACCATCTAGTGGTGTCAGAAAATACAGAAACTGGTTCATGAAGCTTCATTTGGCCATCACCAGCGTACATGTCAGGCCAGAGGCGAGACCCGGTGAGCGTGATGAGCGTATACTAGTGATGGACAAAATGACACTTCATGACCAACTAGATGGTGCTCTCTGTTCAAAAATGGACACAAAGCATGCCCCAAATGAAACCAAGAGCACCATCCAGTGGGGGCACAAAATAAACACAGCAAACGGATCATGAAGCATTATTTTATCTATCACTAGCATACACACCTGGCCCGGAATGTTCCAGCAAGCCCACCATGGATATAGACATGGGGGGGGGGGGCGACCATATACCATATACAGGTTTCTTAAGGAGTACTGGATTTAGGGAGGAAGAAAAACCAGTTACCACAAAGTATATACTTTATTCCAGAGCAATTAAAAAAAAAAGAATATAAAGAAATGTAACAAATCATGGTTCATACACATGCACATACATCTACGATGAACAGATCATTGTTACTAGATATAACTTTTTCTTGTGCATTTAGAAATAGCTCAATACCAAACCATTAAATTGTGTGATTAGTACTATCACTACATAGGAATAGTATGCCTTTTACTATATAGTCTGACAATAACACACTACTATACTAAGGAAGAAAAAAAAAAAGATAAAACAGCAATTAGGTCTGCAGAGGTGTGCAAAGTGGGCACTGTTGTACTACTGGCTTAGAAAAGATGAACTTGCATTGTTTACCTTCAACCTGCCTTACTGCCTCCACTCACATCGCAGACCTTCTGAAAGGAGAAAAGATGGCGTCGGCATGAGGCAGGCAGACTGCAGCGAGTCCCGTTCTGGCTCGATGCGGCCGCACGCACCCGGAAAGGCATCACTGGCACACGGCGGCCGCGCGTGTCGCTCATCACGAGGATTAACAGGCGCTGGGACTGTCACTCAAAGCAAAAATGTAGTGTTCGATCGCTCTAGAAAAGTGATAGCATGTTCGATTGCACGCTTCCTGTCTCCAAACCAAACATCGGCATTAAAACACTTGCAGGAATATCTCTCCTCAGACATCTAGTCATAAAAATGAACATATCCACAAGCTTATCCCATCCAGACAGCACAAACACATCCTCAAATACACCAAAAAACAAACACCATCTCATCAATGAATACTCTATAGCATGAGGTCCTGGCCCTAGTTCATCCTATTCCTAATTTCTTTAAAAAATAAAAAATCTACCTTTAAATGTAAAGGGATATTTACAGAGACATTTCATGAACTTGCTGAATAACACAGTGCGATTCACACCCAGATCCTTCTGTAACCTACTGGCCCGGCCTTAACAGGGACAGGACACAGGATAACACTCTTTGGAAGCTGTGACAGGTTCAAAGCTCGCCGGAAATGCTTTACCCCTCACGAAAAAGGGTCCCACTGTTCAGCTATGATTGCAGGAAGTCCATCCTCTCCCTCGAAAACGACCATCTGACCAGCTGAAATGTGTACCGGCAGCTTCCGTCACGGTCCCGTGAACGTGGGATTGCTGAAGTGGGCACTGGCAGCGTGCGAATGTGGGGGGGGGGGTCACCACCGCTGGGTTCCTGGGACATGACAGCCTTACAGGAAACAAAGTGCCTTGGCAACAGAAAGAAGTGATTGCGACGTCCAAGAAGACTGTATGGTGTAAACGGGAGGCAAGTCAGAATGGGGAGGGGGATTACAAAAAAAATATATACTAACATATCAGGCTTAAATAAGACTGAAATATGAAGAACAAAAAAACCCAAATCCCCATTAATACATAAAACATTAAAAACATATTTGAGATTAAAATGTGTGGGTACAAGAGTTAAGCTGATTTTGTTCGACGAAACATTCCATTTTGCGTAACTGCACGCACGGCCTGCACGTCCCTCTCAGTAGGACTCAGGAGTATTTACTTGTGAGCACAGCCAGGCAGCAGCACTGACTGGTTTCGCCAGCAGAGGGCAGCATTCCAAGCCAGTACAAAGTCAAGCTCACTTTTGGTTACTCAGGCTCATTAAAAACACACTACAGAAAACAGGAGTGAATAACAAGCTATGGAGGAGAAGAGTTCTCTGCGTTTCGCCACGTCTTGCGTGTCATCGCGGTGACCGGCAGCAGTCTGACCACAGTCCCCACCAGAAGTTCAGCACTGCTCCTTCTGGGTAACAACTCGAGGGGGCCTCGAAACAGGGACCTGGGGAGCTCGAAACAGCGTCAACTCTCGGGTCAAGCATAAAAATACGTCAACAGCCGGTTGCGTAGTAAGACCACGCACGACCGACCACTCCGTCTCATCTCTTCACCCACACGCAGGGTTAAAAAGTTTCAAAAATAAAAAAATAAAAAAAAAAACTGGATGCCAGGTATCGCAGGCTGAAATTGGCAGCAGTTCATAGATGGCAGACTCTTGGCAGGGCAGGGTTGGGGGCAGGGCCAGGCCACACCCCTCTACAACCACGTCAGGAAGCTCTCCTTGTCGATTTTGGTGGCCGCAAGCACGGATTCCATGTCGTTAAGGATGTCGGAGCTGAGGGCCTCCTGCAGGCTGGGCATCAGCTCTTCGCCCTCCACAGCCATGCTCTCACCCTCCAGCGTGCCCAGGTCCACGTTGGTGCCCGGAATGGTGTCCAGGTAGTCGGGGAAGCGGCTAGGCTGTGTTGCCATGGAAGCAGGACCTAGGGCGTCCCCTGGGGGCCACCAACACAGAACAGGGCATTAATATGACTTTGCCCCTGACGTTACCAATATAAGCATAATCGGGGGGGGGTACAGAGTCCACACTATACCAGTGTCCATCTCGTCCACGCTGTTGAGGAAGTCATCGGGGGTGCGGGGCACGCTGTAGCTGCTCATGCTGAGGCCGCTGTCTGTGCTCTCGTCCCGCGAGTGGTAGGTGCCGCTGAGGGGGGGGGGGGGGGGGGGGGGGGGGGGGGGGCACAGGTGAATGAGTGAGTGACTGAGTGAGCGGCAGAACCACCGGGGTACCCATATGCGTGGATGGGAACTGCCCCCCACCCAAAAAACGGCCGGTGCTCCCGGCGTGTCCCTGAGCGGGGGGTGGGGGGTGAAGCTCACATTAATGCATGATTACTAGACCAATCCAGACCAGAATGGCCGGGAGCACACAAGCAGAACGTCAGGGTGAGCTGTTAAATGGGAGGCATACTACATACTTTCCCACAATGCAATGCAGAGCATTGAACACAAGGCCCACGGCACTAAAGGGGGCTTGCAAATTGATACCACTAACCCCCCCCCCCCCTGCAGGACAGCACACCTTTAACACAAGGGAGGGGACTTTTCTCCAGGCATTTCTATGGAGAATGGGAAGGTTAGCATCCCCTGCTAGTTAGCTTAGTCTCTAGGGATTCTGCATGGCCTTATATTAGGGCTGGGCGATACCACGTCGATATTAAATCGCGGGTGTGCAATAAATCACCAGGGCTTCAGGTGACAGGCGAAACATTTGGCTGGACACCAGCTTTCTGGTACTATATGAACATTTATTTACATCCACAATTTGTTAAGCAGATTAGTAGTGCGGCTACAATATTAATGAGGTATTTTATGACACCCAGAAGTTAGTAATCAGTATAAATTCTGCATATCCTTACATTTAATTAACATGTCAGACTTTAAATTGCAAAAACTACTACCACGCCGGCTTTTCACCTTGTTAAGCCACAGGATGGCGAGCCGAGCTGAAGCACTGAAGTATACCAAACCATACCAAGCCACAGTATACCAAGCCACAGTATACCAAGCCACAGTATACCAAACTAGGACTGTGATGTGCTCCGCTAACCGAATGTAAATAAAGTTAATTAAACATAAGGATATGCCAAATTCACAGTGATTACTTTTCAGCGTCACAAAATCTCATTAATACTTAAGCCATACTACTAACCTGCTTACTAAATTGTGTGCGTAAATAAACGTTAGCATAGTACCAAAAAGCTGGTGCCCGGGCAAATGGTGATTATTATGCATGTGCGATATACAGTGGTACCTCGGTTCTCAAACTCACTAGAACTCGAATTTCTTGAAAGTCGAACAAACCAGTTTGACCTAGAACTCCATCTGAATATCAAAAGTCGAACCGTGAACGCTGACCGAATATAAATTGTACGCGCAAGGAAATGAGTAATACTACAATGCAATTCTTACTTGAATGCCTTCTTCACAGACTGGACGATTAACAAAATAAAGCAGCGCAACATTACAGTAACTAACAATAAATAAACCACTACCTTACGTGTACTATTATAGCATTTATGTCATTTATTTAAACTTAATTTTACCAGGTAAATTAACTGAAAACCAGTTCTCACTGCTTTACGTGATATTCGGGAGAAATAGATTACGCATCGGAACTGCCTGGGATACAAACATCATGCGTGTAACTAAACACTTCAGCCAATAAGGGCAAAGGTGTGTCGTCACGGAGGCGGTTCCAGTTTGTGCAGCCGGATGAGAGGTCGCAATGCATCTAACCGTAATGCATTGCGTCAGGATCAGAATGCGTTGCTGTAACCCAGCGCTGTAAGCAAGTCGAATGCACCCAATAACAGGACTGAGGACTGATTGGCTGAAGAGTCCTCACACCTGGGTTTGAACAGCTGACCTACAGCTTATCCGAAAAACCAGCATACACACCGGCCCTTTGCGAATAAGATTGGCCACCCCCGGTTTAAATGCTAAAAAAAAAAAAAAAAAATTTTGCTGTAATTCTGGCGGATCGGGAACCAATTCATTGGTTTT